GGGGGGCTTTTACCCTGGGACCAAGCTTAGGCATTGGTTATCTTGGGATGAAAAAGAGGAATATTACCTTGATCTGCCAGGCCCCTCACATTGGAATGGGTGTTTTCTTGGGAAAGCCAAATGTATCATTGGGATTATGTCTTTCATTTGGAATTGGCCCTGAGTCTGGTAGTCTCTCCTGGTGTGGCAGCAACTACAGTAACCAATCTACTCCGGCTCTGCAGCTGCGGCAGTGGTACGGTCCAGGCGGTAAGTTTAACGATTTTTCGAGGAGTAGCCTTCAGGAGGCATATGTCAATAGTTTTTTTGATTGACTGCCTCTGTTATAAAATCTTAGTTGTTTGATAGTTACGCTTCCAGAGGACAGAGTTCCTATGACAAATATGGAGACCAGTTTCTGCTGGTGAGTGTATTCTGAATTTGAGATAGTTTGAATTTGCATATTTTGGTCCCTAGGTAGTTGAAGTTGCGTGGGACACGCTTCCTTAAACATAGATATCCAAACTCATATATTAAGGCCATGTGAGTTTAATAAAGTAAACACTTTTAGCTCCACTATCGACTTTGTTGAGTAGTGCTTATCATATGAGTGATTGTCGGTCGACGACCGTCGTTCGTGTCAACTTTTTACTTTTTTTGACTTCTTCTTGAAAACTATAATAATTTATTCTTCTCGCTTTGATACTTGGTGTATATGTACTTTGGGCAGACCTCTCTTAGAATTTTGCATTTCGTGATGATATCTTCAATTCTCTAATTTTGATTAATATTTTTGGTAAAAAGTGATATTTTCGACTTCTTGTTAAAAGCCGCAAGTCCAATTGCTTTGATATTATACATTAGGTATCTCAGGTAGACCTCTCTAAGATTTGTTCATTTCCTGATGATATCTTCAATTCTCTAATTTTGAAGACAATTTTTGTCATTTTTGGTAAAAAGTGATATTTTCAACTTCTTGTTGAAAACTGCAAGTCTGATTGATTTGATATTATACTATGGAATGTGCATTGCTAACAGCTGAGAGGCTGCATGTTTGCCAAGAAGTCATTATATTAGGGTATTGGCAGGTTAATAAAGTTAGTATTTTAATGATTACAGAGAGTACATGCACTATTTTAAAGCCAATAAGTCCTGATGAGTTAATAAAGTTAATACTTCTAGTTCATACAAGGAATACATATCCTAAGTCAAGAAGTTATTTAATTAAGGTCCTGGTGGGTTAAGAAAGTAATAAATATATGTCATAAATTGTACTGGTTAGAAGTCTAGGATAATTATATGGTTTTCGCATATGCTATTGCAATATTAAACACTCAGTAATATTATCTCTATTATAAGTTACAGTGTGCCGTAATTTTGCAATATTGCACTGGGGTAAATGTATCTACCTTATTTGGAAATGCAGATTCCAAATATGGAAAGATTATGTGATTTGCCAGGATAGCAGACATTATCATATGGAGAAAGTCACACAGTATATGCTTACTTCACTACACGTCAGTCAATACTCCTACTGATCTGATTTTGTGTTATTTTTACAGTATTACTTGTACATGGTATTACGAGAAGCCATACCATGCATTACTTGTACATGGTATTACGAGAAACAATACCATGTATTACTTGTATATGGTACTACAAGAAGCCATACCATGCATTACTTGTATATGGTATTATGAGAAGCCATACCATGCATAACTTGTATATGGTATTACGAGAAGCCATACTATTGCATGGGTGATATGCAAATTAGTTTTTGTCAAAATAAGTGACTGCATGGCTAAGGTACCATTACTGTTGTTCAAATTTCATTTCACTCGGCAAGTATATTCATGTACCCCAAGAGAAAAATATCCTACTTCTTAATATTGTTTATTTCTGCTATGTTTTGAAAAACCGTACTCCTGAAGGGACTACTTTGTTTGGTCTCAGACCTCATTTGCATATGAGGTGTGGAAATACCGATTTTGATTTCAGGGACGAATCAAAATAAACTGCAGTACATATGTAATAACATGCATTACTTGTATGTGGTATTATGAGAAGCCATACCATGTATTACTTGTATATGGTATTATGAGAAGCCATACCATGCATTACTTGTATATGGTATTACGAGAAGCCATACCATGCATTACTTGTATATGGTATTATGAGAAGCCATACCATGTATTACTTGTACATGGTATTATGAGAAGCCATACCATGCATTACTTGTATATGGTATTACAAGAAGCCATACCATGTACATGTATTACTTGTATATGGTATTATGAGAAGCCATACCATGCATTACTTGTATATGGTATTACAAGAAGCCATACCATGTATTACTTGTATATGGTATTATGAGAAGCCATACCATGCATTACTTGTACATGGTATTACGAAAAGCCATACCATGCTTTACTAGTATATGGTATTACTTGTAGCCGTACTATGCATTACTTGTATATGGTATTACGAAAAGCCATTCAATGCATTACTTGTACATGGTATTATGAGAAGCCATTCCTTGTATTACTTGTATATGGTATTATGAGAAGCCATACCATGTATTACTTGTATATGGTATTATGAGAAGCCATACCATGCATTACTTGTACATGGTATTACGAGAAGCCATACCATGCTTTACTAGTATATGGTATTAATTGTAGCCGTACTATGCATTACTTGTATATGGTATTACGAAAAGCCATTCAATGCATTACTTGTACATGGTATTACGAGAAGCCATTCCATGTATTACTTGCATATGGTATTACGAGAAGCCATACCATGTATTACTTTACATGGCATTATGAGAAGCCATTTCATGCATTACTTGTATATGGTATTACGAGAAGCCATACCATGCATTACTTGTATATGGTATTACGAGAAGCCATACCATGTATTACTTTACATGGCATTATGAGAAGCCATTCCATGTATTACTTGTATATGGTATTATGAGAAGCCATACCATGCATTACTTGTATATGGTAATACGAAAAGCCATACCATGTATTACTTTACATGGTATTATGAGAAGCCATTCCATGCATTACTTGTATATGGTATTATGAGAAGCCATACCATGCATTACTTGTATGGTATTACGAGAAGCCATACCATGCATTACTTGTATATGGTATTACGAGAAGCCAAACCATGCATTACTTGTATATGGTATTACGAGAAGCCATACCATGCATTACTTGTATATGGTATTATGAGAAGCCATACCATACATTACTTGCATATGGTATTATGAGAAGCCATACCATGCATTACTTGTATGGTATTACGAGAAGCCATACCATGCATTACTTGTATATGGTATTACGAGAAGCCATACCATGCATTACTTGTATATGGTATTACGAGAAGCCATACCATGCATTACTTGTATATGGTATTACGAGAAGCCAAACCATGCATTACTTGTATATGGTATTACGAGAAGCCATACCATGCTTTACTAGTATATGGTATTACTTGTAGCCGTACTATTCATTACTTGTATATGGTATTACTAAAAGCCATTCCATGTATTACTTGTACATGGTATTACGAGAAGCCATTCCATGTATTACTTGTATATGGTATTACTAAAAGCCATTCAATGCATTACTTGTACATGGTATTATGAGAAGCCATACCATGTATTACTTGTATATGGTATTACTAAAAGCCATTCAATGCATTACTTGTACATGGTATTACGAGAAGCCATTCCATGTATTACTTGTATATGGTATTATGAGAAGCCATACCATGCATTACTTGTATATGGTATTACTAAAAGCCATTCAATGCATTACTTGTACATGGTATTACGAGAAGCCATTCCATGTATTACTTGTATATGGTATTATGAGAAGCCATACCATGCATTACTTGTATATGGTATTACGAAAAGTCATACTATAATACTGTAATGACACATGATATTACAAAAAGCTTATTGCCACTTGCTTTACTATAAAACTGTTTTAATTATTTCACAATTCAGGCAGGGTTCAAAAAATGTATGCCTTGTGAATATGAACTATAAAATTATAAAAATTTTGTGTACAGTTCACGATTTATTTACTTACAATATTAGCTAGGGATATAACTTGAAAGTTAACAAGAATGAAAATAATAAGAAAATTGAAACCTGATTGCGTGTTGTGCTGAAGGAAGCTGTGGTAATACTAACTGCTGTTGACTGTAGAATTGATTTACTGATCTAATTACTGGCAAACCAGATCTAAATAATTCATCCCAGTATTTATTGGAAATTGCTGTACGAATATCAATCAACTTGTATGGGTCTGTTTCAAACCATTTATCAAAGAGCTAATTATAGTGGAATGTTTTAAGAGGACAGTTGTCTGATTAATTATTTGATTCGTTTTCTTCCTGTCAGTTTTATTCAGTTGATATATTCTCAATCATTGCTCATTTAAAAAATTAATTGTAAGGCAGTTAGCTACCATTAAAAACAGACGATCACATTTCCTTGACTTTTATAATGGGGTAATAATAACCCGAGATAAAATACTATATGTGGATATACGCCTGTATGGTATATGGGTCACCAAATAATTTTTCATACATAATGGTTAACATCCATGAAAATAATTTTTGGTTCTTTTACCAGAATTTTTTTTTTTTTATAGTAGAAAATATTTCTATTCCAAAATTGCATGAGGTTACATATGGTGATAAATTCATATGTAGTTATAAAATGGGTGCTCATGGTTGTCACGATATTAGAAAGCTATGATGAATACTATGGAAATTGTTCTAAAAATGTAAATCTTTTCATTTTTCAGACAGTTTTTCTGTAAAAAACACTAAAAGTTGCTAACTTGTAAATATAATTAGGTAACACTTTTGGAACAAAACAAAATATTAACTATTTTTGCTCCTTCATCAAATATATGCAAATTAGTATGAAATTAATTTTGCATAATATTATCAATAATATTTGATATGATGCATATTCTTCTTTATTTTAATTTCAGTGAAACAGTTTTTTTTCTTCATCAAATTTTCTACAAGGGTCTCAGTGCCAGGATGGAACAATGGCCCAAATTGGTGCTTGGTAAGTCAAAGAACGCCTCTTTTATATTCTCTAAATTTCATTTTTATTATTGTCCCAGACAATAAGAACCCTTTATAACATTTGTAATTTAGGCAGAAAATAGTGAATCAAATTAATATTTAATTTTGACATTTTCTGTCTCTTTCTAATATGTATAGTCAGGGATTTAGATAAAGGAATTGATGCAACTTTGATATCTATTCACGTTAATTGATATGCAATGAAGATTCTATCCTGTTTGTGTGTCTGTCAATCAAACACCTTTCTAACCAATAGTGTGACAGAGCGCTTAGAAATATTTGATTGCATAAACAGAAATGAGTGCGGCTGTCTCTGTATTCAAAATGTTATATGTACATTACGAACATGCAAGTACATGCAGCAAAACAGACGAATACTCACCAATTCATTAACAGACTTACTCTTTTATTGCACACAGTATTTTTAGAAATGTACGTTTGTTGTGCAGTTTTCTGATCTTCTGATAATTCATGGACCTCATTTTCAGTTTTCGTGAGATATCGTCTTTGCTTATCTCATGACTTGCATATCTTTATCTTGTGAGTCCCTGATGTACCGTGATAATGTATCAGTTGGTACAGTAAAAAAACCAAACTAAACATTTTTAAACTGTTATTTACTCTGATTTAAATTCTAACAAATTCTGGGTAGTTGAAGTGTTTTTATGTCATTTTATAGTGTCTTTAAAAGAAACAAATAATTTAACAATATTTTGTAATAAATATTGATAATATTGTCATAATTGTAATCAATGTTAAATTGATTTGAGCAGTTGGCTGATACAAATTTTGTATAATTTGGATGCAATATTGTCCAGATAATTGTGTACATATATGTCCTTAACCTTATAACCACCAGACTTTCTCGCACAAATTTTTCTGCACTTTTTTCTTATATTCTTCAATATTTCTGGAAATGAACCATAATTTTGTAACCAACAGACAAAATTTGAATCAATTTTTAGTTTTTACTCAAATTTAGGCTATTTTTGTCCCAATCTTCTGATGGAAAGTGCAGACTATAAATGGGACTATTTGGTGAATTTTTGATGAAAACAAGGAACTGGTGCTGAAAAGGTTAAATCTATACCCACTCATGGATATGTAATTTTAGTAACATACTAGTATCTCATAAGAATAATATACATTGTAGCTTTGAAATAGTGTAAAACGTCGTAGTCATAACTTACAGAACAGTCTGAGAGTAACTAAACATCTTAGCTGGCTTAAAACTATCTTAGCTTGCTTCCAAAATCACCCCTGCATGTACTTAAATTTTACTGAGTAAATTATACTACAACGAATAAGCTGAAATTGTTAATGGATATGGTACTCACTTTAAAAATGTTTCAAAAAGTTTTCATGAAAAGACAGAGTCAGCTGATAGTCAGCTTCGAAATTAACCCTTTGAACGCCATTGGCTAATTTTATCACCACTCACAAAAAATAAATTTGCATAATTTTTCCATATTTTTTCAAAGATTTTGATCAAGGTCTGTTTCCAATGAGAAATTATGTCCATTTCATCCAAAAGTGTGCAAAACATTTTGGCGGGAAAAAAATATAACACTCAAAGGATTAAGTTATGCTCAGACTGTACTGTGCTTGCTAATATAATCAGAAAATACATCATGTTTATTGTATTGATCTAAAGGTAACATACCATGCAATAATTATAGTGTTGTGACATACATATTAAGAGGAATATTATACAGAGATAAGAAATGCAAAATAGAGATAAATATAAACATTAAAGTTGTACTCTGAGAGAATTTCTAGTTTTAAGACTTTTATGTGAGGTATTTGATAGTTTCAGATTGTGTAAATTGTGGACAACGTTCACATTTTAATGATTTTTAGCACATTCGAATATTGATGATCATCTCGGCTTCCTGTTTGATTGTGTGTTCCAGTTTTATTTGCTAACGCTTTTGAAGTGTACATGTTTTATCATGGGAAATGTGTAACAAATATTAAAATTTTAATTATTTTATAGAAAATTTAATTATTGGTGATTATCCTACGTTTCCTTTTAATTGTGTGTTCATAATTCATTTGCTCGTACTTTTGTTCTGTCAGGAATAGATTCACAAAGACTCGCTTCTGTTCTGAATAGTGCAGCGCACTGAAAATTCAAAACAACGATGAATAAATGCAAATCATTAGGTCTTTGATTGTCTGATATTTATGTATAATAATCAGACCACATTTGACATATTGTATCAAAAATTATTTTTGCAACTACTATAAAAGTGCCTCATACTCATATGAATTAATATTGAGACATCTGTATTCTGCATAAATTATCATGCATAAGTTTGTAAAGAATATGTAGTAATAGACTTACTAATGAAAGATTTTTTGATATAAAAAAGTAACAATGTAGAAAATAGTTTATAACACATTACAAATGTTACAAGTTGAATAGAGTACAGCCATATGTTGTCCACAAATCACACGAGCAAATAATCTAACAATCAACAACATAGAAAAGCGTACAATCATTTTGAATACTAATAATTAAGTCGTTCAATACATCGTACACGCAAAAAGACATGCTCACAGTTTTTATGTTTTATGTATTTTATATACAGCTCAAATAAAACAGCATTTTGAACACACGCATTAATTACAAGTACAATATGTGTTATTTTTAGTACCTTACATACTCAGCTTTGATGACTATAAAGACCTTCATTACTGAACGATTAAATAAATGTATAAAATGTATTTCATTAAAAAAAAAAAAAAAATACAGAAAAACAACTGAACTAAAATAAGTACAAGAGTGAATAAATAATGTAAAATAAATTGAGTTTTTGTTATTAGAAGCACATATGTCAAAAGAAAATGCACATAAACCAAAAAATGCATTTATTTATAATTACTCTATTCAGAGTCTTCATATTATTTCTTGCAAACATTTTCTTTCATTTACCTAATCACATGAGTTGCTAAAGGGGCAAATATTATATACAGAATCACAGAAAATATTTTTTTTTTATAAAATAGCCTAGTCTATAAATCAAAGAATTGTAAAAATTGTCATAAATTTTTTTTATATCATCCATTCTAGTTTCTCTTTGTTAGTAATTAATTTATTGATTAATAATCAAATTATGAGTTATATAATCTGCTGCTAACCTTTGACCTGAGAATGTAATTTGCATATAGTGATTAGAGTGTAAAATAAATGTAATAATTGATATAATGCTATTAAAACTGATACATTATAGACTAATTAGTATGCAAATTAGATTATTTGTTATCGGAGCTTACAGTCTATCAATCATTTGTTTCATGTAGCACACAATATTCGTCTTTATGCGTTCAAATATTGATGAAAAGCATACGAATGTCATTTCCATGCTAATAAGAGATTTTTCAACGCAGAAGAGTTTTTTTACTTTGAGCTCTTTTTATGTGCAATTCAAAGCATACCATTTGAAAAGGTCACTCTCACTCTGTACATGAACTTGTCCTACACCTAATTTTACTCTTCTATATTATAATTTGTAGCTCTATAAATGGCCAACATATATTTTATTTCTCTTACCTTATTACACTTCAAGGTTCTACATTAAATATCATAACAATTAATGATACATAAGTATTAAAATATTAAAAACACAGTGAAACTAAAATAAAAATAATTCCCAATATGATATGAAATATGGTCTAATACCTATTATATTGGGCTATGTAGCTACTGTGTAGTGGTTGCTATGGCAATAAAGTAAGGTCAATAGCTAAGGTCAGGTGTTGCTTCATAATGTATTAGCCATATATGGTCTTGATTGTCTTTTCTAAGAAATACCATACATGTGTAAATGCTTTGCCAATCCTTTGCATTACATTTTTTATATCGGTCATGAACTACATTATTCTGTAAATATTGCTTTTTGTAGTAGAAAGATATTTATTTATGAATACTATTATACATTTGTCATATTAAATATAGAATACACTAGGAATAATTTTTTTACGAAAAACTTTTGATTTTGCATAGTTTCAGACACCTCTGAAAACAGTGAGATCAAACTTTATTTACATGTTCTAGAAAGTACTAGTTTTTGAATACATTATTTTTCAGATTGAAATAATTCTGCCATATATATAATCAATAATAGCTTTCCACATTCATAACAGTAGTCAGCATGAATCACGTCTCATATAGTATCATTGAGAAATACAGCGTGTAAACTTCATAATAAAGAAATATATAGCAAGCAAAATCAGGCAATGTTAATTTCATGTTAATTGTCTATAATCCACAAACTAGGCAAAAATAAAACTGCAGAAATACTTTTGTGTCCATTTAGAAAACTATATTTAAGGAATAACCATCCCAGAGGCATGTATTCCACAAAGTTTTGATTAGTTTAATGACATGTACACACAAGTGTTCGTAAAAGGATGTTAATCACATTCACTTCTAAACACAGAGAGCGATGGTTGATTTTGTCTATTTACCCACGGTTTGCATAATTAAAAACATACTCTCGATCAATCAGAATGATTTATTCAGGCCATTGAAATGCTGGTATAATATAATTTCTTATATATGTTATACAAGACACTGCTGCATGGCTCCACTTGTTGTGTGACTTGTTATTTACTAAAACCGTGCGAGTTAGTTTTGATATGTAATTACTGTTATATCAGACATGCTGATAAAAGACTTACCCCCTCTAGTGTCAGGACTGTTAACCTTTTTACCACCAGGCTTTTTCACCCATTGGCAAATCCTTCGATATTTCTGGAAATAAACCCTGTGGAGCCAACAGACAAAATTTGAGTCAATTTTCAGTTTCACTCAAAAAATTTGTTGTAATCGTCTGAAAGGAAAGTGCAGACTATAAACAGGACTATTTTGTGAATTTTTGATGAAAAGAAAGAACTGGTGGTGAAAAGGTTAAATATGAGTAAATTTTTAGTTTCACTCCCAAAATTAGGCTATTTTTCTCCCGATCTTCTGAAGAAAAGTGCAGATTATAAAAGGGACTATTTTGTGAATTTTTGATGAAAAAAAAGAACTGGTGAGAAAAAGGTTAAATTCAAGTAATTTTTTAGTATTTTCACGCTTAATAAAATGCAATACACATTGAATGACAATAAATTTTAATGAAGCTAAGGACATCTCAAAGTCATATTCCGCGCAGAAAGATTGGCATTTTAACATTGAACTATAACAAAGAAATTCAAGTTCATAATCAAATTATTAGATTTTTGCAGCAGTCGTTTGTTTCTTGTGTTTCACGCAATACGTGACATCTCGCAGTAAACATAAATTCATCTCTTGTTTGGTTGCAGGTGATTTGTTTGATATGCTGCTACCAATGTTGACTATATACAATGAATATGTGCGGAACCATCATTATAGCTTGCAAGTATTGGCTGAATGTAAACAGAATGTGGCATTTAGCAGTCTTTTGAAACAATATGAAAGTAAATCTGTATGTGAATCCAGATTATTGGAAACATTCCTCACATACCCTATGCATCAGGTAGGTTGATATTTAGGTACCCCGAGAAGTTTGAAAATATTGGATCTAAAAATGTTACCATCATCTTGTAAGATTGTTGGAATAATGAATTGTTTCTGTTCCGCAAGCACAAATCTGAGTAAAATTCAAACTCAAAAATTTTTTTTTTAATTTTTATATTTTACATATGAATTGACCTTTCTGTGTTTCTGTGTTTATGTGTGCCCACCTATATCTCAGATATTCAAACTTCACACATACATCACACATCATGTCTCACATAAGCCCATGTATACTATTCCTTTGACAATTCAATTCAAGATGGCTGAATGGCAGCTACTTTAATGCTAAAAACCTTCAAAATTAAGCATTTCTGCCATTTCCACAAACATCAGACATTATGGGACCTTGCTGCACGCTATTGTGTTTTACAGATCAGATACGAAATGGCTGCCTTATGGTCATTTTGCTTTTAAAGAATTTGGTACCTGAGCTATAACTTTCCCTGACCAATTAAGTTTAAACTTTAAATATACATCATGTCACACATCTGCACATGTATTCATTTGACAATTCAATTCAAGATGGTCGAATGGAACCATTGTAATGTACGTCATTTTGTGCATCAGATTGGACTCAAAATGGCCAACTGGTGGCCATTGTTTTTAGTGAATGCAGTTCTTGTGCCATTTCTTTGATATGCTCTGAATGTTCATGTTCAAACTTGATATTTCCTAAACTTAATTAAGAACTCACATGAATTATGTAATGCAATTACTTGTTTTGTTTTGTTTTGTCTTAATTTACATATTTTATTTGTCTATTCATGACTTTTTAATTTTTGGTTTTATTTGCCGTTATTACCGGTAAGACTTTTATATGTCGTATTTCAGTCTAACTAAGATACAATATACAAACAAATTTAACAATAATAACTGCAAGTAGAACCAGCGAAATCGTTCTGAATAAACCAGAATAACTAAAAAAAAGAAGAAAATAGTAATTGAAACCTATACCTAATGTCAGATTCTAATTTGATTATACAGTACTCTGAATTTGCATATTTTACAAAACTGTCATGGGAAAGTATTGAGCTGTATCTGGTTAGTGTGCGCCTCAGTTCTAAAGGCTCTGCCTGTATTTTTATGTGTCATTTAAAAAAAGAGGGATGTACCTCCTCATATTGATTAATATATTGTTCACACATCCACAGATTCATTTTCTTGTTAAAAGAAAAAGAAACAGACCAGAAACAGATCGATTTTTTTGCCCTGAAAAAAAAAAAAAAAAATATGATCTTGATGTTTATTTGAAGGGCGGTGAGATTAGTGTTGATAAACAGGAAACATTAGTGGCATTTATATCATATTTAAAATAATAAATAATTAGTAAACAGTGTATTTATTCTGGATAGTCTAATCGTGTCATTTCCTATCGTGAGTCATTCTATTAATTGGAAAAGTAGGTTATAGTTGAATCAGAACTGAGTTCCTGTCTTGTGTAATTATTATATTACGTGGTATCAGGCAATAAATATTTCAGATTGTCATATTGATCGAATCCTTGACATATGCCATATTTGTCATTTATATTCAATATTACAGCTGGGGCTCACAGTTCAATAAAAAGCAGTTCTGTATAATAAGACCATACAAAGTGAAATTTTTGGTATGCATTACTGGTATATCAGAAAGTTTGGATTACACTACAGTCAAAATATTTTTCTAAACTTGAAAATAATTGTTGTCAATTTGAATGACGTTAAATATCAACAATGCTGGGGTCAAAGTTCATATAAGTTACAAAGTTCATTACCAAACCTGAATGCATTGATGTGGTTTCAAATAATCAGATATTTGCTTCTAAATTGTAACTAGTCAAACGCAATTTTGGAAGTTATTGTTAAATATAGAGTGACTTTTAAATCAAACATGTTGTAGAATTACCAACAAGTAATAACAGTATTTTTGTCTGTATTTCAGTGTAATTTTTATCAGATAATATTTTGAATGTGCAACTATCCAACTTTGGTATTCAAAAAGTAATCATATATATTAGCTTCTCATAACTACATAATTGTGAAGAAAAGAACATTTTGGCCTAATATGAATTTTATTAATCCTCATGAAGGGAGCCCTCATTAGTGGAAATTAAATTGACTTTGTTTTTATGAGATTTATTATACTATTTTGTTGCTAATGTTTATATCGTTTGATATTCTAGATACCAAGGTATATAATAACACTACATGAACTGCTTGCACATACACCACATGACCATGTTGAGCGGAAGAGTCTAGATCATGCTAAGAATAAACTAGAAGAATTATCCAAAGTAAGTCAACAAGCTTTATGAATGACTTTCTAAAGTTCACACATCCTGGTACTTTTTTGGGTTACCAGGATGTGTGACCTTTAAGGGGGTCCACATTTAAACAACAACAAGCTTTAATTTCACTTAATTTGCATGATTTACATAAAACAATTAAGCCAAATAAAAACATGAAATAAAAACATCCACACAATGGAGACTTTTTATATAATGGTGAATGCACACATTTTTGGAGGAGAATGTACAAGTCTGCTCTTCTTTGCCCAAAGTACACTATGTTTTCTATGCTGGCTTAACATGTAGTGATAAATAAAAATTTTAAAAATCAGTATTATTAGTAACTGTTCATCTGTCACCATGACATGTTGTTTATCTTTTGTAGGTTATGCATGATGAAGTTTCCGAAACCGAGAATATACGAAAGAATCTTGCAATAGAACGTATGATAGTTGAAGGATGTGATATACTTTTGGATGTTAACCAGACTTTTGTCAGACAAGGTATGCCTGTGAATACTGTGGTAGCGTATAGTTCACGAATTGCGATAACCGGACTGGCATGAGCATTGCTAGTTGGGAGAATGACACCCAGGCAGAGGAGAAATAGAAATGTACAGCTGTCTATTCTGTGTGCTATTCTTGTCTTTAGTTTATATAAAAATTAATTTCACGATGCATAGATTACAGGATATCTGGAACTAACTCTCATTCTAGATCTCTAATTGTAATTTATCTCTTGATCGGCGTAATAAACAGACAAGATACATCTAGAAATAGCTTAGTTCATCATTGTGATATACTCTTGGATGTTAATCAAAAAAATACAAAAAATGGATACAAACTGGAATATCCACATGCATATTCATAAATTCATTTTCATTTATTTTTAGGCAGTACATATTTCTGGGGGTTCACAGGTTTGGTTCTTGTAAAATTTTTGAGGTAGAAAATTTGACACGTTTATATTAAACGAGGATCACAAATTATGAAGTATAAAAAGTTATATTTTGTAAACTTGTCTTGTGACTGAAGGGATTCTCAAATAGCATACAATTCTATTATGTCTTTTCTCTAGGTTCTTTGATTCAAGTTTATGCAGAGAAGGGCAAGAATCGGAGTCGTCTCGGTTCACTTAGTAGTTCAAAATCAGATCCACGAAAGGAAGGTGTTCGACAGTGTTATTTGTTTACTCACCATCTACTGATAACCACTAGAGGTTCAAGCGGTAGACTACACCTCTCAAAGGTGAATAATAATTTGCGCAGTTCAATGAAAGAGCAATGAAAGAGAATGCTATTCTCTTACTGTGTATTAGACGTACATGCCCATGCCAAATGTGGTGTTTAGTTACACACTTCTAATGAAAGAGCTGTGATCTGCACAGCACGACCAGGTGTGTCAATGAATTTCAATTTCACAAAATGATTTACAAATTTTTTTTTTTTAGACTGGTGGTAAGATAGCCTTGATAGACACGATGCTAGTGGATGACTTTGATCCATTTGATGATGATGGTAAGTAACAATGTGTAACCATGGTAACCACAGATTATAAATCATTTTAAAATTCACCATTTTATATGAAAGACACAAAAATATGGATAGAAATCAGATGAGAAATTGTACATGGCTATGTATAGATACTAGAGACGTACACCAATGAAATATATGGTTTACAAATGCAGATTTCAATGAAATTCACCAACAAATTACGTTAGATGTGTTCAGGCTACACCAAGTACAGCTAATCTTGTATGATTGCATATTCAGGGATGAGAATTTTCTGCGGATCTGCGGAGTTCCGCTGATTTCTAAGCCCCAGGGATCAATTTTCTAAAACGTCAAAATACGAAGACAAAATTTTAGGGGGGGGGGGGGGTTAAGAATACAAATCTTGTTCATTCACCAGAAGTAAACATGCTGTCGGGTCATTGTTGTCGGCTGCAAGAGGCCCTGTATCAGTGTATGGTCGAAGGGAAACAACTCGCGGTGTCTCCAATGCGGAATGTTCGCGACTCTTTTTCATCAGTGCAATTGTGGTTTTGAAGTGTTCGAAGTAATACGTAACAATTAACATGATTGGCTGGGTTAGTTCTGACAGGCCAACCAGTGAAGAGCTTTCATTTTTCTTTTCACCAACGGCACCATTTGTTTCAATTGTTAGCAGCGTTGGATCGTTGTTTACAAGTTTCATGCAGCAATAATGGTGAAAGTAGTTACAAAAGACAACGAGTCAGTTGTGCGAGAGATCGATAAAGACATTAGAAACAAATTTCGTTGTGAATCGGGGAGTGGTAACTGAAAAATGAAGTGACTTCATGTGCAAGTGCAAGGTCCCGGGAAAGGCGATAGTGTCTGTATTGTAACAATTTGATCAACTACGATTCTCGGACCCCGGATACTTTACTTTGAGCTGAAAATTTAAATTCTCATTCTCATCCCTGCATATCGGCTATACTATTTTGCTTTCACGCACATGAGGGAATAACAGTCAGCACAGGAAACAGAATAACCAAACTTGTTAGGAATATACTAGTATTACAGAATCTCATCATCTATCCATTTTTTTTTCTCAAGAATAATATCTCTGGAAGTTCTTGTGTTAATTGTAATGTTGGAAATGCCTGAGCCGAGCTAAGTATTCGCCCACACTTCAATTAACCCATGCTAAGGTTCTAGACTGGTCTTAAAAATGGGTTTAGCTTGTAAACTTACCATTTCTTGGCCCCAAAATGTTAGCCTTTGCACTTTTTTTATCACAGGCTAAGGTTTTTGACCTCTTAGTCTGTGCTAAGGAGCTGTGCACGAACACAATTACTGTAAACCACTTATTATATAATTTTTTGTTTGGCATTTTCATAATTTTATGACTTTATGTCATATGACCCCAAGCAAAATTCTCACTTTTACTAAATTTAATGATTTTCACTGACAATAATTTGTCTCACATGACACTAAAGTGATTTATAGTAATCAAACATTTTAAATATCAAAACATCTTCCCAGAATCCTTGCTTTTGAATAGAATTCCAGTATAGTTTACTGACCTTATCTTACTGTTTTTTTATCAAACACAGAGGGGAGTGTTTGCAGTCACACCAGTCAATCTGAATACGACAACTTGGAAATTAAACTCATCGTGGATGGGAAAAGTGGTCCACCACTACATGTCATCCTAATAGCACCTACCCAACGAGACAAGAATGTTTGGATGGGTGATATTAGTCAGGTAAACACTTACATCATTTTTAACTATGTACATAAAATGAACATATTAAGAACGTTGCATATATTTTGGGGAAAACAATGTACTTACTACTTTAACATAGCTGTTTACAAAGCATTGTCTGAAATTTGCTTACCACAGCCAGTAACCTGGTCATGACAACAGGAACTGTTTTTATACATAAATTACGAGTTATACTTACACAGTCAGGAAATATATACTGCAGTTAACCGTTTGCTCTTAGGGAATGTCATTTGAGGAGTGTAATCATTTTGCACATTTATCACTCTGGCAATTCACACATTTGAATTTTGAATAACATAGCTCTTCTAATCATGTACAATTTTTAAGCCAACAAAAATAAACTGTGTGCTTATGATAACATGCACTTCTAAAAAAAACAGGTAGTGTTTGTAGGATTTTAATTTGTGGATGTCCTAAATCTGCATATTTGATGTGATAAAAATGCTAGTACACAAAAAAAACAGATTTATTGTATCCTGGATCATTAAAATAGCATTAATTCTGACCACGTATATGTACCTCTGTCATTTATGTAAATGTATAAGTACTAATTATGAAAATATTGTATTTGACATAATTATTCCTGAATTTGTTGTCATAATTTATCTACTTCACATCGATATAGATTATTAATTTTTAAATTTTATAATAATTATGTTTCAAATTTGGAATCTCAGAACTTTGTGATTTCTACCCAACTTATTAATTAATTAATTAATTTGCATACTAATTAACTGCATTGAAGCTTTAACATAGCTCATATGAATACATGGTACAGGGGTGTGCGTTCAAGAAACATAGAACGTTCTGTGACGTAGTTCCGTCTCTGAGAATACAGCAGTATAAGCATTGCTAAGATGAAAATGATGGGTTGTTATAGTGATCAGTATCTATCATGGAACATGAAATTCACTGCCTATAGAATCTATAGTTGATTTTTCTTGGAAATCACTACTTACTGTTCATTATTCCTTAGTGCATAGACAATCTGCATTACAATGGATTACTGAATGGTAGTTTACATGGCAGTCATTCGTCAATACATATGCCGTTATCTATCAGGTAATTGGCGTACATGCAATGTTTATTATCGTCTTAGCACTTCTTTACACCCTAGGCACTTTTGTATGTCTGTTGAATATAACAATCTACTCAATAAATCACTTTTAAAACACTTATTAACATATGGCACGAAAAAACTCACGTTGCCAATAATCTGTGACATGTCTCCAGTACAGATGGTAGTTAAGTGCTTTGAGCTAAACTTATGAACCTTAAAAGATAGTTTTAATAATAAGTAATTATACTTACACCCTTCCAGTTGTACTATCTTCTCCAACACTGCTCAGTATCCTATCTGGCGTGACTATCAGAAGACTACATAGCAATTAATTAAATGAATAATTTTCTCAGGATTGGACATTCTGGGAAATGTATTTTCTTGATAGACATGAATGCAAGTATAGCCTCTGAATATTAAGACTATCTTTTAAGGGTTTTATAAAACGTATACATGTACATTGCACACACTATATATGATAGTATGAATTAATACAAACACATTGTCACATCTACACCTAGTAATTTCTCTAACATGTTTCTGTACCTTCAACTTTATAATCCTATATCACACTGAGAAAAAAACCATGCACTCCATCATGTCAAGCGTTAATTAACACTTCCACCACCCAGAACACATGTATTTTCCTAGCTGCACATATCTATACACATATATTGGACGTACAATCTGTGAATCACTTGTGCGTGAAAAGCAGCCAGCTAATTTGCACTGATCCCAAATCTGTTTTGATTTTATTCATTAATTTATAATTGCTTGTGTGTAAAGTAATACGAGACCACCTAAGAAGGTAAACAATATACACTTATTTATGGATGCAAGCGATAGTTTTAAATCCCAGAATGCATTTCAAACAGGAATTATACAACGGCAGTTTTCACGCATGAGATTTGCCTCATAAACCATTTTTTTTTTTTTTTTTTTTTTTTTGTATTTTAAACTTTTTCCCCTGTAGTTGTATGTTATACTATCAATTATCATATGTGGTGTATTTGTTTTGTTTTTAACCCTGTACTCTGAACTTGTTGTGAACCATTCCTTGCAATGGATGTAGACGTCGTTGTCGAGAAGTACTTGGAATGCATTATCAGTTTATTAGGTAACCTATATCATCATCCTCAATACTCATGAATATTCATTAGTAATGTACCAATAAAAAAACATATAACATTTCATTCCTCTACTAACATTAAACTCTGTGGTGATGTAATACTAACTCTGATTGGTTGCTTATAGTTGGTCCATATAACAACTTTCTACTATACTCTTACTTTACTATTGACTTTATTTGACAATTATTATCAGTTATTTAATTATCTAAAACCTACATGCTATATGCACCATTTCCTGAGTACAGAAAATAAACACTATTACGGCATAGGTGTTACAGTTGCATTCCCACTTTGCATATCAGAACCAATCCCTGATCAATGAAAATTAAGAAATGAAATTAAGTTAAATTTGTAAACAATTATCAATACTCACTGAGTTAGGGCGGCTAATTTGTTTTTGAAAGTCAGTTGGTACATTGTTTCAATAAGCAATAGGACCCTATCGTGCTCTCAAAATGAAATAAGCGGGAACGTGAGGGAAAAATATCTACCTATGTATAATATCTATCTATATTTCATATTTTTCAGCTAAAACAGAATTATTTTGTTTTTAGTTCATTCTAAAAGTGAGTCTTCACATATTTGCCAAGTGGGAAAGCAAATTTAAGATAATTGCACGAATAATTAAAAAAATTAAATATAAATAATTTTCCTTCATACTAATTGACTTGATCAATGTTGGATACTGTTTAGTTCATATTATTGATTCTGATAAAAACTACCAATGCTAGAAATAATCATTTGTTTGTGGACCAACCATGAATACATTGCTTACAGCATGGAGTGGATTTCTAGTGTAACCAGACTAGAAAGCTTTTCACTTCATTCTACAAATATTTCATCACCGTATGTCTGGTTCATTTGCAGTATGTAGCAAGAATTTAAAACAAAAAAAATGTGGTAATCATTTTTGCATGTCTCGCCTGTTGCATTTTGTATGCTAATCTATCTTATTTTACAAGTTTTTTTTTCAAAAAGTGAAATATTTATGCTTTTTTTGTCTTGTCATTTCAACAACTCTCATAATAGTCTTGTAAGGCATCAGGGTTAGAGAACATCAATGGATACATTCCACATCAAATTAATTTAATTTAATTTCACATTCCTCTCACCCTCCTCTTCTCCATCAACAACAAAGTTCTGAATTATTAGGTTTATTTTACAAGCAACTTCTTTTATTATTCCTTGGTTACTTTTACTTGGTTTACTTTTACTTTTTTAATTTTTTTTTGGACTCAAATTTATTTTTACCAATATATCATATTGTATAACTCGTAACAAAAATGTAAAAAATAGTATATGATTGTTATTTTCAGATCTGACCCAAGGCTATTCAAAGATGATGTCGATATTAGATTTAGTCGTGCCCTAAATTCCTGTAAAGTTCCACAGATCCGCTATGCTAGTGTAGAGAGACTTTTAGAGAGACTGACCGATTTAAGATTCCTTAGTATTGACTTTCTCAATACATTCCTCCTGACCTATCGTATCTTCACTACGGGCAATGTTGTTATAGATACACTCAGGAAAGTTTACAAGAATCCAGAAGCCATGGAAAGCCTATACAAGTAAGATTGGCCAATGGAGGTTGATATTAATAATCTACAGACTCAATAAATATTAATGCAATATACAAAATATAACTGGGCTATATCTAACCGTTCGCTAGTTGTCAATAATAAAGTAAATACTTGGGTACAGCAGCCCATGTATAATATCTATTTTGCCAACAGTGGGAACCAATTATTGTGATCTAGTGTTATTTTCATCATTTTACCCATAAAAACAATTATAAACTAAACTTCAGAAAAACATATAGTCCATTATATATATACAGTAGCACATTTCACTTTGCTACACAATCTAAAACATATTCAATTTTCCATAATTGAATCGTTACCCAGTTTGCCAAGGAAGTGTTAAAACAGATAGCTACAATTAATTTTCGCTGAAAAGACTTTTTGGGTGTTTTGTATGGAATTTATTTTCACTAATTTTTGGCAAGTTGAATGTAAAATATAGGAAAAATAGTATATTCGCTGGATTTTATTTTCACTGAATCACTCCTTCAGTGAAAATAGCAAAAAATATTTCCAAGCGAAAATAAAGTACCGGTATTTAACAGTGTCCATTGAGGAAGCTCATTAGAGTTCATGTATATGATATAGACAGCATTAGATGCTTTCATATAAATTACGAGCAATTAGTAATGATTGACTTTTCGTTAGACAATATAGTTTTAAAATATTTTCTTTATTTTTTCTATTTTCCAGTTTAAGAGATGATAATACAACAGGCAGTGCAAGTGGTGGCGAAGGTAGTCCTAAATCACCTACCGTATCATCTTCATCTTCTTCTTCTTCTTCACCACAAAATACACCACCATTACATACACCACAACTTGATACACCACCATTACATACACCACAACTTGATACACCACTTGCACATACATCACAGATTAGAACGTTTGATTCAGGAACTCACCCTAGGAGCCATCCATTTAGAAGAAGTTTCAAGAGGTGTAAGTGCTACTGCAGATGGTGTATATCACCTGAATATATATATCACTGTCAATATACTACTCTCTATATATCCCGATGTATACACCATTGTAAAATAATAATAATAATACCAGTAGTTGCTACACTTCTACCTTACAAATTAGTTATTCAAGCACAACCATCAGCTGGCATATGATAATTAACACAGATTTTCACAGAAACACTATAAACAATTGAGAATTATAGAGTTTGTGTTTCTATGCAAATGTTTGTGATGTCCCTTACTGAGTGTTGGCTTATTGCTATTATATTATACCAGTATTATTTTCAGGGTGACAAAAACACAAAAAAACTGAGAAACAAACTAACAAAATTAAGATCCCTTGGTTTGTCAGAAAATGAAATGTGCTTGGAACTGTCACTTGTACAATTTGAAATACATTGATAGCAACGGATTGGATATAGTATTAAAAAAAATATCAGCTTTATAAAGTTGTACACACCAGAACATGTACATGCTTTGACATGAAATTACTAGGCCGTTTTTCTGATAAGTTCCCTATTTAACCAGAACATGTTATTTTATTTTTCTTATATTAAAACAAAGAAAGATACTGGTTTATAATCATTACTGAGCCTGAGACTATGAACAGCCATTGTATGGCTATTTTAGCACAGTGGAGGCAGTGAGAATATGAGAATTACATTCCAAAAACTACTGGTATAATGTAATACCCTGTTTAGTTGAATATCCAGATTGCACTCTCCTTATCGCATGATATATTATTAGATATGCATGGAATAAATTTGCATTTCATTTGCATGCCATTTTAACTCAGAAAATTCTGTCAGAGCAACGTATAACAAAATAGTGAACTTCGTAAAAAAATGTCATGTGACTCTTTTGATGGGTCTACTATGGTCCAGACTAGTGTTGATAAGATTACTCTGGTCCAGACCAATGTTGATAAGATTACTCTGGTCCAGACCAATGTTGATAAGACTACTCTGGTCCAGACCAATGTTGATGAGACTACTCTGGTCCAGATCAATGTAGATAAGATTAATCTGGTCTGGACCAATGTTGATAAGACTACTCTGGTCTAGACCAATGTTGATGAGACTACTCTGGTCTGCACCAATGTTGATATAACTACTCTGGTCCAGACCAATGTTAATAAGACTACTCTGGTCCAGACCAATGTTGATGAGACTACTCTGGTCTGCGCCAATGTTGATAAGACTACTCTGGTCCAGACCAATGTTGATAAGACTACTCTGGTCCAGACCAATGTTGAAGAGACTACTCTGGTCCAGACCAATGTTGATAAAATTACTCTGGTCTGGACCAATGTTGATAAGACTACTCTGGTCTAGACCAATGTTGATGAGACTACTCTGGTCTGCGCCAATGTTGATGAGATTACTCTGGTCCAGACCAATGTTGATGAGACTACTTTGGTCTAGACCAGTGTTGATAAGATTATTCTGGGTGGACCCATGTTGATAATATTACTCTGGTTTAGACCTATGTTAATAAGACTACTCTGGTCTGGGCCAATGTTGATGAGACTACTCTGGTCCAGACCAATGTTGATGAGACTACTCTGGTCCAGACCTATGTTGATAAGATTACTCTGGTCTGGACCAATGTTGAGGAGATTACTTTGGTCTAGACCAATGTTGATAAGACTACTCTGGTCTGGGACAATGTTGATGAGATTACTCTGATCCAGACCAATGTTGATAAGATTACTCTGGTCTGGACCAATGTTGAGGAAATTACTTTGGTCCAGACCAATGTTAATAAGATTACTCTGGTCCAGACTAATGTTGATAAGACTACTCTGGTCCAGACCAATGTTGATGAGACTAATCTGGTCCAGACCAATGTTGATAAGGTTACTCTGGTCTGGGCCAATTTTGATGAGATTACTCTGGTCCAGACCAATGTTGATAAGACTACTCTGGTCTAGACCAATGTTGATAAGACTGCTCTGGTCTGGGACAATGTTAATAAGATTACTCTGGTCCAGACTAATGTTGATAAGACTACTCTGGTCCAGACCAATGTTGATGAGACTAATCTGGTCCAGACCAATGTTGACAAGACTACTCTGGTCTGGGACAATGTTGATAAGACTACTCTGGTCCAGACCAATGTTGATAAGACTACTCTGGTCCAGACCAATGTTGAAGAGACTACTCTGGTCCAGACCAATGTTGATAAGATTACTCTGGTCTGGACCAATGTTGATAAGCCTACTCTGGTCTAGACCTATGTTAATAAGACTACTCTGGTCTGCACCAATGTTGATGAGACTACTCTGGTCTGCGCCAATGTTGATGAGATTACTCTGGTCCAGACCAATGTTGATGAGACTACTTTGGTCTAGACCAGTGTTGATAAGATTATTCTGGGTGGACCCATGTTGATAATATTACTCTGGTTTAGACCTATGTTAATAAGACTACTCTGGTCTGGGCCAATGTTGATGAGACTACTCTGGTCCAGACCAATGTTGATGAGACTACTCTGGTCCAGACCTATGTTGATAAGATTACTCTGGTCTGGACCAATGTTGAGGAGATTACTTTGGTCTAGACCAATGTTAATAAGATTACTCTGGTCCAGACTAATGTTGATAAGACTACTCTGGTCCAGACCAATGTTGATGAGACTAATCTGGTCCAGACCAATGTTGATAAGGTTACTCTGGTCTGGGCCAATTTTGATGAGATTACTCTGGTCCAGACCAATGTTGATAAGACTACTCTGGTCTAGACCAATGTTGATAAGACTGCTCTGGTCTGGGACAATGTTAATAAGATTACTCTGGTCCAGACTAATGTTGATAAGACTACTCTGGTCCAGACCAATGTTGATGAGACTAATCTGGTCCAGACCAATGTTGACAAGACTACTCTGGTCTGGGCCAATTTTGATGAGATTACTCTGGTCCAGACCAATGTTGATAAGACTACTCTGGTCTAGACCAATGTTGATAAGACTGCTCTGGTCTGGGACAATGTTAATAAGATTACTCTGGTCCAGACTAATGTTGATAAGACTACTCTGGTCCAGACCAATGTTGATGAGACTAATCTGGTCCAGACCAATGTTGACAAGACTACTCTGGTCTGGGACAATGTTGATAAGACTACTCTGGTCTGGGACAATGTTAATAAGATTACTCTGGTCCAGACCTATGTTGATAAGACTGCTCTGGTCCAGACCTATGTTGATAAGACTACTCAGGTTCATCCCTATATAAATATTGACTGGATTTGTCATTATATAAATATAAAATTTAACCTATTATTATTATTGTATAATTTAGTTGTAATTCATGCTTTTGTTGCATTGTATTGTTGTAGCTGAGAAGAAGAAAGACAAATTAGAGGAGGAACCATATGAGGAAATGTTGCAAGCAGCGAAGTCATCTTTTAAACAGCCACCAAAGTCACAGGGTTCCACACCTACTCATACGCCACCATCCACACCAACACGTCTTGCCCCTCATAATAGTGTGTCTATGTTATCACCTAAAAGATCCTTACCAATCAGCCGTTCAGCTCCTAATATTGCAGTTTTAGTCAAAAGTAGAGGTGAGCAATAAGTCAGTAATATAACATATCTAATGGGTCTGCCTGTTTACAGCACACCCAAATAATGTATGGTTGCATGCACATTCAAGATAAACAGATAGATAATTTATTTGACACAAAACTTTGTATCTACAATACATTGTCCATGGTCAAGAAACTAATCTATTACTGTATAAAATCAACACAATAAAAACACAACAAGAAAACAAGTTTTAGAAATAATTTAAAATGGAATGGATGAATTTCGGCAAGGCTATTGGCAATGAAGCTATCTTTTGTTCCAAGCAATTGCTCAATACCTTGGTTTGAGTGCTCGCTATTAGAGGAGTCATAACAGAGAATTTCTTTATTAAAAACAGCGCGAGCTTTTGAAATTTCACTGTTGTTACAAGTGAACATAACATAAACTTCATCACCAATAGCCTGCTTGTCACAAAGTGTACAAAGTCTTTTACCAGGAGGTATTCCTTTATAACACAGCCTTTCAATTGGTAATGAATGGGCAAGAGATTCTAAACTTAGTAAAGCTGACTGTGTTTTAAATTTTTTACCTGCTCCAAGAATGGTTCAAATTCATATGTATGTTTAAATTTATTATACGTTCGTAATTTATTATTTTTAGGTTTATTAATAGTTGGCAACCAGACTTTGTTTTGGTAAATCTGTTTTATAATAGTTTTGAATTCCTTTGAGTCATTTGAATCATCACTAATTTTAGTTATATTTAATAATTTGGTAATAAATGACGACCATGTATTACCATTCATATTGCAGTGAATGCACAGTGCAGTAGGTGATTTTTTCCAATTGATTTATATTGTAGAGGTTGTGACCTTTGATGACCTTTGCCCTCTCTACCCATGATGCATTGTATCTTTAGAGTTAGCAACCCAGTAATGGCTGCCCACTGAATAAATAGTTGAAGTTCTTCTGTGTGTATCATTCATATCTCTAACCATCCTTGGTACATTATGCAACGCACCATGCAAACCACAGTATTGAATCATTCCGTGGTAGAAAGAAGTACCACAATTTGTGTTGATTACTGTTTCGTAGTTGTACTTGGCTGCTAATATTATGATATACGAAAGTCACACAAATGAACATCCAAATAACAGCTTGGAAAAGATGGATTTGAATTCAGCATTCCAGCATCATACACTGCACTTGGTATACTATCTCATGAACTGTTTTTTTTAACTGTATTGGTAGGTAGCACTGGTGGCAACTCTGATAGCACTATGTCACCAAGGAACAGCATTGCTATGAGTGAAACTCCACCTCCAACATCAACAGTTAGTGCTGGTGTTGTAGTGACATCATCTCGTCAATCAAAGCGACGCTCTAGTACTTCAGCAGCAGCCACTGCTTTTGCAGTAGCTACAGCTGGATCCTGCAATCCTAGAGATATTAACTATAGAAAGACTTCGAGACATTCCACTACAGGTATGACACAATGGAAGCTTATGTCATTACACTGTCTGTCTGTCTGTGTGTTTGTGTCTGTGTATATACCTAAAGATATTAACTCTTAGAAAGACTGCAAAACATACCACTTTTAGTTTGACACAATGGAAGCTTATGTCATTACACTGTCTGTTCATCTGTGTGATGCGTGTGTGTATAATCCTAGATATATTAACTATAGAACGACTTCAAAGAAATTCCACTACAGGTATGACACAATGGAAACTTGTGTCATTACACTGTCTGTCTGTGTGGTATGCTTGTTTGTGTATGTGTATACACCTAGAGATATTAACTATAGAAAGACTTCAAGATATTCCACTACTGGTATGACACTATAACAATTACTTTATAACAATGCAGGTCCAGCAGATATCATATTGAGACGCAAAGAATCTGTTATCAGTACAGCAGCGACCATGAGAGTTATTAATGTTATGAGGCATTGGGTTTCTAAGTATCCACAGGTGGGTAATACTAGTGTGTAATATACATTGGGTTTCTAAGTATCCACAGGTGGGTAATACTAGTATTTAATATACATTGGGTTTCTAAGTATCCACAGGTGGGTAATACTAGTACGTAATATACATTGGGTTTCTAAGTATCCACAGGTAGGTAATACTAGTGTGTAATATACATTGGGTTTCTAAGTATCCACAGGTAGGTAATATTAATGTGTAATATACATTGGGTTTCTTAGTATCCACAGGTAGGTAATACTAGTATTTAATATACATTGGGTTTCTAAGTATCCACAGGTGGGTAATACTAGTATTTAATATACATTGGGTTTCTAAGTATCCACAGGTAGGTAATACTAGTATTTAAAATACATTGGGTTTCTAAGTATCACAGGTAGGTAATACTAATATTTAATATACATTGAGTTTCTAAGTATCCACAGGTGGGTAATACTAGTATGTAATATACATTGAGTTTCTAAGTATCCACAGGTGGGTAATACTAGTACGTAATATACATTGGGTTTCTTAGTATCCACAGGTGGGTAATACTAATATTTAATATACATTGAGTTTCTAAGTATCCACAGGTGGGTAATACTAGTACGTAATATACATTGGGTTTCTTAGTATCCACAGGTAGGTAACACTAGTATTTAATATACATTGGGTTTCTAAGTATCCACAGGTGGGTAATACTAGTATTTAATATACATTGGGTTTCTAAGTATCCACAGGTGGGTAATACTAGTATTTAATATACATTGGGTTTCTAAGTATCCACAGGTAGGTAATACTAGTATTTAAAATACATTGGGTTTCTAAGTATCCACAGGTGGGTAATACTAATATTTAATATACATTGAGTTTCTAAGTATCCACAGGTGTGTAATACTAGTACGTAATATACATTGGGTTTCTTAGTATCCACAGGTAGATAACACTAGTATTTAATATACATTGGGTTTCTAAGTATCCACAGGTAGGTAATACTAGTATTTAATATACATTGGGTTTCTAAGTATCCACAGGTAGGTAATACTAGTATTTAATATACATTGGGTTTCTAAGTGTAACGCCAAGAATATTACACAAACAAGATGGTAGAGTTTAATGCAATGTCCTGTTCTTTTTATTTCTGGACCAGTGTAAACAAAAGCAAAAAACAAAAACCTGTATAATAAATAAATAATACAAATCAGTATACACAACATAAATACATAAATATTCATAAATGTGCACAACATAAATGTACATAAATATACACATCTCAGAGGCACATTACCATTCAATGC